ATTGCTGTCCATTGTTTTATCAGCAACGCTTCTGGTTCTCGGTGCATTGTTGTTATATTTCTTGGTACATCGAAAAAGAGAAAGAAGAATGGTGACAGGATTCTCTAGCATGCCTACAAGAGTCAATAAGCTCTTGCGAATTTCTTACCATGAACTTCTTCGTGCAACTTCTGGATTTTCTCCAGAAAACTTAATTGGTTCAGGAAATTTTGGAGCTGTCTACAAAGGAAGGCTAGAAAAACATGGCAACAAGCTTGTAGCAGTTAAAGTTCTTGATCTTCAAAAGAACGGAGCTTCGAAAAGTTTTAAGGCGGAGTGCAAAGCATTGAGAAATATTCGCCATAGAAACCTCGTTTCTGTCGTGAGTTATTGCTCCAGTATTGATTCCAAAGGTGATGAATTCAAAGCTCTAGTCTATGAGTTCATGGAAAATGGAAATCTGGACTTGTGGCTGCATCCTTCAGAGACAACTGATCAGGCAACAAGCTCAAGAAGTCTTAATCTTTCTCAGAAGCTGAACATTGCAATTGATGTGGCTTCTGCATTGCAGTATCTTCAGAACCACTGCGAAGCTAAGATTGTTCACTGTGATCTAAAACCAAGTAACATTCTTCTTGACAATGATCTTGTTGCTCATGTGGGTGATTTTGGATTGGCAAGGCTTCTCCCGAAACCCATCAACAGATCTTCCGAGCAAGAAGGCAGCAGTACTATTGCTATAAAAGGAACAATCGGCTACGCAGCCCCAGGTAACACAAATTTTTATGGTCAAGAATTTACTTAATTGTGCGCAGAAATATAGAACTTTGGGTCATTTAATTCTTTTTAATTTTTTTATTATAATTACTATGAGAGCGCTAATTTTAATTAAAGTCATCTTGTTCTAAAAGGAGGTCCATTATGCCCCAATCTAACATTTGATTAATTTTAATCACTTATTTCTTTTATATAGTTTTTCTTTTACTACCCAATAATAATATGTCTCGAAACAAAATCTCAGAGTATGGAATGGGTCTTGCGGCATCAACTCAGGGGGATGTCTACAGCTACGGTATTCTTTTGTTAGAGATGATTACAGGAAGAAGGCCAACAGATGATACATTCGTGGGTGATCTTGATCTACATAACTATGTTAATGGGGCTTTGCATGAACGAGTTTCTGAGATAGTGGACCCGTTGCTTTTTCTTGAAGGAGATGAAAACAGAAATATGACTCCTGAAGGGAAAAATAGCAATGGTGGGAAAGAGATGGAGTGCATTATTTCCCTGCTGAAAATTGGACTTATGTGCTCTGCAAGATTACCAAATGATAGGATGCATATGAATGAAGTTGTCAGAAAATTACATCTCATTAAGGATGTTTTCCTTGGTGTTAGGGTGCATCAAGAAAATCTTGAAGCTTAATATCTACAGGTATACACAAGAATTTAACACAGCCCCCAAGTTGAAGTCCATTTTTTCTATATTAGGTAAAGAATTTTATTCTTGACCTAGGCTTGCAAGCTAGCTCGTTCTATCAGTCAAAATCTATTCCAATCCAAACCCAAAAAAAAAAAAAAAGGCAAAATCTATTTGTTGTGCTTACAAGCATGGAAAAAGATGGCTTCTCATACTAATGCATGAATTCTTGATTTGCAGCTGGTTACAGGTCCGAATCTCCAAGCTGAAGTTGTTAATGGGGTGAGCTAATGAAGAAGACACCTTTGGCTTTTTATTTGAAAATAAAAATAAATGGATGATTCAAACATATTCCTATAGTCTTTCTTTATAAGAATTAGATGTTCTTGGTTCAATTCTGCTTGAACATCTTAATGCTTCCATATTGTGCTTGGATCTTGTGCTTGCATAAAATAGAATACATTATACTGACAATGCATAGTCTTGCTCCCATTTTCTTTGAATTTTGATTTTGCTACTATATGAAATTTCAGTTACCATGAGAACAACATAAGGGGATAAAAGGTGAGGATCAATTGTACTTATCACTTTAACAGAATGCTCAAAATTTTAACATACTTCATGGAATGCTCAAAATTAACAGAATAATTCCGTTAACTAAAATTAACCAGATGTATTGGGACATAAATGTCAATTCAGAAACCCTTAAAAACCATTAAAAATCAAACAAATTTTCTTTTTCTTCCTTCGTTCTTACATTTTTGGAGATTAAAAATTGAGTTGGAAAGGTGAGAGAGTTAGATTACCGGGTGGGCTGGTGAGGAGTAGAACAAGGAGAAGGGACCATTAAATTAAGACGAACAAGAATGAGTAGACGAAGGTACAACAAAAGAATCGTCCTTGGATTGAGAGGATTTTTTTTTTTTTGGTTTTTTGGGTCTCATGAATTTACATTTTTGTCCCCAAATAATTTTGTTTCATTTCAGTTACGCTCATAAGTGAACGGAATGTGATAATTATTATTCTAGTAGTATCAGTTTTCTTTCGCGTTCCGTCTAAGAATTGCATTGAAGTGAGACGAAATTTATAATTTAGGGAGTAGAGTGTTTCATTTTTAAAATTGAAGTTTAAATGGCGCAAAATGAAATTAACCCTTCTTGCTTTCCCGCACCCCCCGCTTAACTCAGCTTTGCTAGTATAATAATCCCCAGCATCCAACTCTCCCTCTCATATTTCTTCAACCATATATTAACCGATCTCAACTCCGCTCCGGCGGTCCTTTTTGGACGGAAACCTAGACGTTTACCGAAGCTGTATGTATGCATCAATACCTGTTAATCTCTCCATAGATTATCCATGGAAGAAAAAGAAACAGAGTTCCTCTGTAAACTCACAGCAAACCATCTCTTTTTAGCCCAATTCGAGCCACTTCGGGCGACTTTACGTAGTCTCAGAGTCCAAAGCCCGGAGCTTGCCGGATCAATTTGGCAAACAATTGTAGCCAAAGGTGGCCGCTTCGACTCAGTGCTCTGGTCTCACCAAAATTTTGCAAACAATTTTGGAAAATGCAGAGGTTTTTGATGTGTTGTGAGGGAATATTGAGAAACAGCTGGGTATGATTCAGAAGGATGATTCAGGGATGGCAATTACATTGAGGACGGAAGGGAAACGAATGGAGGTGGAGGATAGGGTGTTTAGGTTGGTGCAAACAGATGGGGTGGTTTCTCATTTATTTGGATTTTGGTGTGGAGGACATGGACTACCGGTATGTGCAGTTGTGATTTTACCAATATGGTTGATGTTGTGTTTTTAAATAATGCTGTAATCTTTATTTTCCTTTAATGTTTCATCGAGATTAATTGGAGTTTATGCTGGTGATTTTTGGTTGAATATGATTTTGATTGAAATTCAGAAGTAGAAAGTGGAATTTTGTTGGCTCTTTCATCTGTATCCTGACCTTGTCCAATGAACCAGAATTGGCATGCATGGAAAAAACTCACTCACCAAAAAGGCTTATGTTTGCCTTCATTGCAGGGTTATTACCATCATCATCATCATCATGGGGGAAAAGGGTCATAACCTTTTTTAAAAATACATCAAAATTCTGAAAAAAAAACCTGTCTAGTAGTGATACATTACTTGGAAAATTTTCTGCTTTGAGTTTACTGCAGAATGCGGAGTTGTTTGCTAAATGAGAATGAGCTTATGATTTAGCAGATAATTAATGCATGTTTCAAGATTTAAAACAGTAGGATTTTGACTACAAACTGACCCTCTATTTATTGAAGAACACCAAATTGTCTCTCATGTTTTGGAAAAAAAAAAAAAACTTTCTTGTCTGTCACACATTCTAAAATGAAGCAAATTAGCTTCAGGATGACAATCTGATACAGATTTTAGGGATAACATTGGAACATTACTTTAATTTTTTTCTAAATCTAGAAGACACCAAAAACTAAAAATTTGTCTCTCATATGCGCATGACATTAAGTCAACATAAATAGAGAAAAAACTAAAAATTATAACATCAAAAACAAACCCTTCTTTTTAAAAAAAAAAAATTAAAAATTTTTGAGAAAATGGCATTAAAACAACATAAAAAAAGGGAAAATTTGGGAACAGATTAAACAGAACTCACCTAAGCCAACCGACAGATTCTAGCATATCAACATTCTTGTGATTTGTGTTAATTGGGAAGATCATGTACTCCACACAAATGAAGGCTTCCCGCTAATCATCATCTCTGGTAGATGATCACATTAATCCCAGCTTTCATGGCTTGAAAAGTAGTAGTCCAAGAAAATTAAGTTCCATTAGTTCCAATTGTGTGGGCTATATACAAGATTCTATAACAGCCCAAAACATTGTTCCCATTCCGCAGAAACTTTTATCTTTCTATGATCAATTTGTTGCAAATTAATCCATTTTTGCCTTCTCCGCTCTTCGAAATTCCAAATACCATGTGGGCATTTCTCTCATCAACATTAGCGAACATTTTTCTCCTACTCTTAGCTGCCATGAACTTTCAAAATGAACCTTGCTTCAGCTGCAAAACAATTTCAGAATGAAACCGATAGCCTTGCTCTGCTTGAATTGAAGAAGCAGATACATGATGACCCGTTTGGAGTCCTGAACTCCTGGAACCATTCACAACACCATTGTCAGTGGGAAGGACTCACATGTGGTACTCGACATCAAAGGGTCATAGCACTTAGGATTATTATTATTATTATTACACAGGCTCGACACTTGTAACTGGGCTTGAGGTACTTGATCTTTCCAAGAATAAAGTTGCAGGCCAAGTTCCAGCTAATTTAGGAGATCTGACAAATCTTCAATTATTAAATCTTGGTGTTAATTTCTTCGGCAATAATTCTTCCCGAGACTTGGACTTTATTGCTGACAAATCTTCAATTATTAAATCTTGGTGTTAATTTCTTCGGCAATAATTCTACCCGAGACTTGGACTTTATTGCATCATTGACCAACTGCAGTGATCTAAGAATTCTTTCCTTGAATGGCAATAAATTTGGAGGTAATATACCTAGAGTCATGGCCAATCTCTCAAATCAACTCACAAAACTATTCCTGGCCTGGGGGGAAATCAACTGTCAGGAACCATTCCAGAAGGGTTTGGAAATTTTGTCAACCTATATCTCCTTGGCCTTGAAGAAAACTCTCTTTCTGGGGTCATTCCAAGAGATTTTGGCAAATTACAAAATTTGCAACATCTGCGTTTTGACACCAATCAATTTTCAGGACAGATAGTCTCCACCCTATGTAATGCCACCACTCTATACTATCTGGACTTATCATTTAACCAGTTTGAAGGAGGCAATATACTTGACAATGTTCTTATGAACTGTCAATATTTGCAATATCTGGATACCCATATCACTTGCTGACTGTTCAGATCTGGAGAATCTTTCTATGCAATCCAATTTTTTCCAAGGAACAATTCCACCAAATTTGGCTTCTTTGAAGAGCATCCAGCAATTAGACCTTTCAAGTAATAAGTTAACTGGTCCAATACCAAAAGAACTTGAGAAGCTTCGCTATTTGAGATTCTTAAACCTTTCCTATAACGACATCGAGGGTGAGATACCAAACACGGGGATTTTCAGCAATGCAAGTCAAATATCATTGATTGGCAACAACAAACTCTGTGGAGGCATTCCAGAATTGGAGTTCCCACCTTGTCCAGTGATTAAGGGGAAAAACAGAGGAAAGCTGAAGGTTATCATATTGCTGTCCATTGTTTTACCGGCAACGCTTCTGGTTCTTGGTACAGTGTTGTTATATTTCTTGGTATATCGAAAAAGAGAAAGAAGACTGGTGGCCGGATTCTCTAGCATGCCTACAAGATTCAATAAGCTCTTACGAATTTCTTACATGAACTTCATCGGGCAACTTCAGGATTTTCTCCAGAAAACCTAATTGGTTCAGGAAATTTTGGATCTGTCTACAAAGGAAGGCTAGAAAAACATGGCAATATGCTTGTAGCAGTCAAAGTTCTTGATCTTCAAAAGAATGGGGCTTCCAAAAGTTTTAAGGCCGAGTGCAACACATTGAGAAACATTCGCCATAGAAACCTTGTCTCTATCGTGAGTTATTGCTCCAGCATTGATTCCAAGGGTGATGAATTCAAAGCTTTAGTCTACGAGTTCATGGAAAATGGAAATCTGGACTTGTGGCTGCATCCTGCGGAGACAACTGATCAGGCAACAAACTCAAGAAGTCTCAATCTTTCTCAGAAGCTGAACATTGCAATTGATGTAGCTTCAGCATTGCAGTATCTTCACAACCACTGCGAAGCTGAGATTGTTCACTGTGATCTAAAACCAAGTAACATTCTTCTTGAAAATGATCTTGTTGCACATGTGGGTGATTTTGGATTGGCAAGGCTTCTCCCAAAACCCATCAACAGATCTTCCTTGCAAGGAACCAGCAGTATAATAGCTATAAAAGGAACAATCGGCCGCGCAGCCCCAGGTAATATAAATTTTACTCAATTGTGCGCAGACTAATTAAACTCTCAAATTCAAACCCAAAATCTCTCACTTCCACCCAATCCACTCCTCCCCAAATTAGCTGTACTGGTACATTCCGTTTTGTAAGATTCCTCTTCATAAATTTAAGAAAAAAAATTTTGAAACTCTTTCATCCAAGTTCTATGATTTGTTTGATATCATTTTTCTATGGGATAACACTGAAAATATACACAGAGCTTTTATGTTAAAGCATAATTTGAAATAACATACCACAATTTTCAGTCACCTACTTTAATATGCAAATTGAGACTAATATTAAATAATAACAAGAAAAAATATACATAATTACATATCATTGAAACAAATGGCAAAGAAAAGGTGGCATGTCCATAAGGAGAAGAAAATTTTTTTAAAAAAGCAAGCAAAAAACAAAAAGAAGATGAGAAATAGCAAATAAATTTGTGCACTTAAAGTAAAAAAATTGCAAATGATTTTTGTCATATTCTTGGATGATATATTATGTATTGGAGTTACTTATTGATAAAACAATTTTAAGGGGACAATGAGCAATTGAGCCGAGGCTTGTAGTGATTCACCTTCTAACAATTTCAATTAAGTCTCATTTATGAACCAGTACTTTGTAGCTATGCTTAATCTACCCCAATCTAAACAATTGATTCAGTTTATCATCCTTAGATAATTTTCTCTATTTTCTTAAGTTTTTCTTGTACAAAGTAACATAATATATCTAAAAACAAAAATTCAGAGTACGGAATGGGTCTTGCTGCATCAACTCTAGGAGATGTCTATAGCTGTGGTATTCTTTTGCTAGAGATAATCACTAGGAGGAGGCCAACAGATGATATGTTTATGGATGAACTAGATCTACATAACTATGTTAATAGGGCTCTGTCTGAACAAGTTTGTGAGATCGTGGATCCCTTGATTCTTTCTAAAGCAGGAGATGGAAACAGAAGAATGACTCCTGGAAGGGAAAATATCAATTGTGTAAGAGAGATGGAGGGCGTTATTTCCCTGTGAAAACTAGGCCTCAAATGCTCACAAAGATTGCCAAATGATCGGATGCACATGAATGAAGTTGTCCGCAAATTACATCTCATTAAGGATGTTTTTCTTGGTGTCAGGGTACATCAAGAAAATCTTGGAGTTTAATAGCTACAGATGTACGTGAGAATTTAGTAGTCACAAATTGTGGTTCAATTTTTCTATTAGATAAACGATTTTTTTTTTCTTGACCAGTCTTGCAAGCTAACTGATCAGTTCTACTATTCAGAATCTATTTTAGCCAAAAAAAAAAAAAAAAGTTATGTGTTGTGCTCACTAGCGCGGAAAATGATGAGTTTGTTTGGATAAGAGTTTATTTGGATGATTTATTTGAGATAATTACTATAGCATTTTTTGTAACGTGATATATATGAAATAAAAAGATGATTGGAAGGATAAAAAAGTGGTTGGAATTTGTGAAGTAAATTATTTTACTTCAAATCTTCTTAATCCAAACACACCCGATGTCTTCTTGCAGGTACTAATGCATAAAATCTGGATTTGCAGCTGTTTGTTGGTTTGAATCTCCGAGCTGAAGTTGCCAGTTGTGTGAGCAGATAAAGAAGACACCTTTGGCTTTCTTTCTAGGAACTGGATGTTTTGAAAGATGGTCAATTGGCTCAATTCTGCTTGAACATCTTTTTACTCCTGTATTCTACAATAAATCTTATGTTTCCATAATATTGATTTTGCAATGTTGAATGTTGATTTTGCAATCATATGAAATCTTAGTCACAATGTGGACGACATAAAGGGGGTAGAAGCCAGGAATCAATTGCACAATAAAGCCATATGTTCCCTTGCTAGCACAGCCATACATTGCCCGATCAAGTTAAGGTGGTCATAAGAAAAATCATTTAGTATTAAATTACATGATAATGATATGCATCATCACCTGCATAATCAGTCAGTATGTACTAATCTTTTTTATTTTTATTCCTATTTTGTTGGGGGTGCTCAAAAAGGTTATGCAATAATAGTAAATACCTTATTTTGCCCATTTTATTCAATTTCATTGATACGCACGACAGATCTTTTGTGCTACTTTCTGTTTCACTTTTTATCATATTATTTTTTCTCCTTCATAACATCACATTTTAATTCTTTTTTATTTCCTTAAAATCTAATAACTATTAATTAAATAATACAAAATTTAACACATTTCTATATGTAAATGGCTTTACCGGACGAAGACAATAGATGAAAATATCTCTGGGTAAGATACCGTATTAAATCTGGGACCTTTTAATCAGTGAGATAAAGGCAGACATTAGACGAATGGGAAAGATGAGGCATCTAAGCTAGGCTAAATGATCAAATCGAATTGGGTAAAAAAAAAAAATAATCAAGTGAACAAAATAAGAAATTTTTTCAAAACGTTCAACGGGTATTAGTATAGTTTGCCCAATTTAGTAAGTCTGCTAACTGGGCCGTTGGCAAAGAGCCCAAACGCCCAAGGGGTCCCTGTGTTATTTACGATGGTTTTCTTGGTCTCAGGACATATCAAAAAAAATAAAAAATAAAAAATAAAAATTCTTGAATCTTGATGGCCACAGCTACATATAAGAATTTAATACGGTTCACAAGTTGGTAGTTCATTTCTTCTATATTTTAGAAAAGCAATTTCATTCTTGATAGTGTCTTATAAGCTAACTCATTCTTTTATTCAAAATCTATTTTAGCTAAAAGAAAAAAGAAAACGAAACAAAAGTTATGTGTTGTGCTCACTAGCATGGAAAAGGACGTCTTCTTGCAGGTACTAATGCATAAAATCTTGATTTGCAGCTGTTTGTTTGTTGGTCTGAATCTCCGAGCTGAAGTTGGTAGTTGGTGAGTTGATCATGAAGACGCCTTTTGCTTTTTATTTGGAAAAATGAATGGATGACTCCAACGTATTTCTATAGTCTTTCTTTATAGCTATATTTTCAAACTCGGACCGGATATCGACTTGGTCGAGCTCAGGGGTCAGGAGTTAATGGGTTTGATCGAGGTTGAATCAGATGATGTCATAAATAAAAATTATTTAAAAATTAAAATATTATATATAAAATACTTAAGAGCATGTTAATATTAATGAAGTATATTCATATATATTTGATGTTTCAAATATATTTAACAAGAAAATATAAAGAAATTAGAATGATCAAGTAGCAATTTATATTATTCAATGAACATTAACGAGTTTGGAATGAGTTTAGAATTAAAATTATGGATTTGATTGAAAAATAACACCAACTTTAGGGCAACATTTATAAAATATGAAATATTTGAGCTATATTAATAATTCTTAACAAACTAGGGGTCAAAACATAATATTGAAAATGTTTTGACCTTTAAAAAAACTATGACACAAATCGGTCGGTTTTTTCATCAAATCCGGTCAAACTCAATTTTGACCGAGTCTTTATCCCTCCGGTTTTTTGGTATAGCTCGGATTGGATACATGGCTAGCGACGGGTCCGGTATGAGTTTAAAAATATAGCTTTATAGGAACCGGATGTTTTGAAAGACAGTCAATTTGCTTCATTCTGTTTGACCATCATTATGCTTCCGTATTATGTTTGGATCTTATGCTTCCATAATGTGTACATTATACAATAAATTGTACTTTATTACAAAGGCATACTCTTTCCTCTATTAATCATGCCTTATTTTGAATGTTGATTTTGCTGCCATATAAAATCTTAGGTCCTGTTTGATAATCCAGTTCAGTACTTAAATTTGATAGATTCAAATTTTAACATATTCAGACTAGTTGATAACAAAAAATTGAATATTTGAATTAATTGAGTGACACTAAATTTTCTAGATAAAATTTGCTCCCAAAATTAAGTGATAAACTATTCACTTATCATTGAATGTGATATACACTCAAATGTATTAAATTTAATACTTAAAAATTTAATAATTTAATGGAATCAAATTTCAAATTTCAGATTTTAGTTTTATCAAACGCACTTTTACTTGTGACGATGACGGCACCAAGGGATAGAAGATGGGAATCAATTGTACGAAAATTACCCTGAAACATTAGGAGATGATGGGATGCCCATGAATGAGATACCAAGAAAATTAGATCTACTCAAAGATCTGGCATTTGCTTCAAATCAGATCTCGGGCCCGGATCCTGTTCTGAGAAGTAAGGAAAATTTTCCTACTAAATTTGACGCGGGATATGATTTGCTTCGAGCCAGATCCCAGGACCGAACTCACTCTTGAGAATAGAGAAGTTTCTTTTGATTTGATCAGACTTTGGATCCACGGTCGGATCCTTGATAACAGTTAAAATTCTTTAAACTTGTTTCGGCACCTTTTATGATTCGAGTGGCTATTTTACCACCAAATGATGCCTCGAATTTACAATGTTTCTGATCACTTGCACTTCTTATGTAAAAACCTATTCCTATGAACAAAACTTTGAAGAATTGTTCGATTTGTCATAGTGTATATTGTAGACAATCAAATTTTGTCCTATCCTAAAAGATATTTATCCTTTGTGATAGATATTAATAGTGAACAAATATAATCCAAAGAAAAGCGGTTACTGTAATTTACGATTTGAAACCTTTTCTATCTCTGTCCATCTCCCTAGTATTTATACCATGAGACTAAAGGTCTTGGAGTCCTTGCAGACCAGACATGCAATGCACTAAAATGCTAGCCTTAGACTGACCGACTGTTGTAGGCCTGAAAGAATAATAAATTGTGGCCCACCAATATTGAAATTGTGAAAGTATTCAGATTAGTTAATATTGACGACCTAAATGAGGGGTTAGAAAAACTTTGAGAAAAATTTAAGAGGCTCTCTCTAATTTCAAGAGTTTAACCTTTTTTAAGGCGTTGAGGGTCTGAAAATTTCTTTGCTGCTTTTCCCAAACACAATGAGTAGAAAGGGAGGCGAAAGACCAAAACAAAGCAAAACGAGTAATCTCAACAAAGCAAAACGAGTAATCTCATCTCAAAGTATTTGTCAGAGTGTAATTTACTTCAAACAAATCTAGTGCAGGGACAGTAAAATAAAATCTAGTGCAGGGAACAAGTAGTCACGGTCAGGGTATGTAGGGAACAACAAAATAAAATAAAATAAAATAAAATAGCAAAAATACCAACCCTCTCTAAATAGAGTTCACCTACAAAAATCAATTCTAGATTACGACATTTTTAAGTGATAGATACAAATATGAAAATCTCTAAAATCAAGAAATTGGATTATTTATTAGTTTGTTTCTATCGACTAAGTCGTTGTCGTTTGGTATAGGATTTTTCCTCTAAATTATCATGAGTGTTAGATAATTTAGAGTGTTAACAATCCTAGACTACCAGCCTCTCGATTAAATCAATTTATTTTAGTGAGGGGTTAAATCCACACTCCTTCCATACTAAATGTGCACCTTATACATGTGTTAGACACTTATGTCCTTAGCTTTTAAGCATCAAGTCAAAACTTTTTATAATAATATCTTTTCTAAAGGAATATTAACATCCTAATCTTTATTGCAAGTTTTATATAGCCATTCCGATTTTTTTTTTTCAACATTTACTTTTCTCTAAAGTTTCTTTATAATTTTCCTATTTTCTATTATGACTTTCTACCTTTTTTTTTTTTTTTTATCGCTTACACATAACCAAATGTAACCAAATAGAGATGTTTAAGTCACTAATGCTTCTTATGTAAACACCTATTCACATGAAGCAAAAAACTTTGAAGAGTTGTTTGATCACTAACTATAGGATACAATCCCCAATTCTAACTGTACAGAATGACGTAGAGGATCGATTTACTACAAAAAACCATTTTTTATATTTTAGAATACTCTAAAACTACGCTCCATTGTTCTAACCCTACACTGATTTGTCATATGTGTATAATGTGGATAAACAAACTTTTTCTTATCCTAAAAGATATTTATCTTTTGTATTAGACATTAATAGTGGACAAATATAGCTTAAAGAAAAGAGATTACAATTCACTATTTGAATCCTTTTCTTTCTTCGTTCATCTACACCGGCAGTGATAGAGCAGTTATTGGGCATATTTTGCAGTGTTATTTTGGCCTAATTTTGGCTATTTACGGTGCTAAGTACTGAGGTTTAACTCATATCTCACATTCGTATGAATTATAGGTGATCGGCATTAAAAATGATCTCGCGGGGTAGATTTCCAGAAGACTTGTCGTCCCAGGGCGTGACCACGCCTTGGAAGGTGGACGGAACCGGAAGACGGACCGTGGTCCATGTGGACCAGGCGCATGGGATCAAAACTCCAAAAGGGAAATGGCTTTTGCAGAATGAATTGCACCAGACGTTTCCTTCTTGGACGGCGGCTATAAAAAGAAAAGGACAAAGCAAGATGGAGCATCATCGACTTTTAGGCTTAGTTTTCTTTTTCTACTTTCTGGGTCAGACGCTTTGTCTTTGGTTTTTTCTTTCTTTTTACTTTTGTTTCGCCTGCGGCTGGCGGCGAGACATTGAATATTTCTGCGGATTTCATCTGGGCTCTGTACAACGGAGACCCTTTTTACTTTTTGCTTTTGACTCTTCTAAATTCCGTGAGATTCCTCTTGTGCTTTTCCAATTCTTCGGCAATCAATTGAATGTATTCAATTAAATTACGCGGGATTGACACGATGAGGAGCGGCTAATTTCCCCCTCTACCCAAAGGTTGACGCGACGGCGCGGTCCATAATATCTGTGAGATCTAACCGAATCTTCATTATTTCCTCCAATTAATTGCTATTCCTGC